CCCCAAAACCCCAAAACCCCAAAACCCCAAAACCCCGTGTTGTATAATTTTATAGAACAAAAATGGGAAAGACTTCGAGAGATAAGAGGGATATTTATTATAGGTGTGCCAAGATGGGTGGTAATCACTCAAAGCCCAACACTTCCAAGGATCCCTCTTCAGTCGCCACCGAGTCTGAACAGGCACAAAATATGACCGAATATTCCTATTATAGAGCTAGGTCAGCTTACAAGCTATTACAGATTGACAAACAATTTAATATTTTCGAAGGGGTCCAGAGAGTCGTAGACCTCTGTGGCGCCCCAGGGAGTTGGTCCCAGGTAATTATCGAAAGAATGAAGCAAATAAATCCAGATATCGACTTTCACGAGTGCCACAGGGTTATCAATGTCGACCTCCAGACAGTCGCACCTATAGATGGAGTTAAAATTATCAAAGGCGATATCACAAGACAATCTACTGTTGATGAAGTTTTGGAAATTTTTGAAGGCCATAAAGTAGAATTGATAGTCTCTGATGGGGCCCCAGATGTCACTGGGAACCATGAATTCGATCAGTACCTTCAGCATCAGCTTGTCTTAGCAGCCATTAACATCTCTTTCCATCTCATGAAAGAAGGAGGAACTTTCGTAGCTAAAGTTTTTAGAGGAAAAGACTTCATTTACTTGACTAAATTCCTGAAGAGACTGTTTAAAAGTGTGATTATTTCCAAGCCAAAATGCTGCAGAAATTCCAGTATCGAGGGATTTATTGTATGTAGAGGTTTTCATAGGGAAGATCAGGAGATTGTAATCTCAGAAACTCTGAACGCACTTGATCTGATTGATGGCCTAAACTTTGTCCAACAGAATAAACAAGAGTACTATTCATTGAACCAACCTGCTGTAGTTAGTCTTGATAGCATTTTAGAGCAAGAAGATACCACTGAAGAGTCTAAGATTGAAGAAGATGATACTGGTGATAACCATATCGAATTTGTGTCTTGAGGAGACCCTTCAAGTTTAGACCCAGATATGAACTATCCCCTCAATTTCGATGTGAATACTGGTAAAGTTGATGAGACCAAGACTGTTGAAGACTATCAATATCTTAAACCCTTCCCAAAAATTGTTGATTAAAATAGTGGCTGATTCAATATTATGATGTTTAAAAGGGGTTTTGGGGTTTTGGGGTTTTGGGGTTTTGGGGTTTTGGGG